ATCAGCAAGCTTTTCTTTCAAATGCCACACAGCTCTATTCAAGTACCACCATTGCTATATTTAATCCATTTTAAAGACTACTGACTTAAACTGACACTTTGAGAAAAGAAAGGAGGCCAGTCTTCTTGTTGTGGTACAGACTGAGGTTTTCTACTAACATCTAGATTACATAAAGCTTCTGAACAGTATACAAGCGAACAATTGCCCAGAAGACTTGGAACAGGGATCTCGCATTTGCAAGAGAACTTGCCAAAGACCCAAGAGAGATCTTGGAACAGCACAGGGACAAGAATACAGCTCACTTCGCTAACACGTTCAATTCAAGTCTTTTTCTACTACAGATTATGGTGTCCCTTATAATTGAAAAGCTACTTGCATACTGCCAAGAAAGAGCCCATGAGTATCCATTTCTGGAAGAACAGAACACACACAGTGCACATTCTCAGTAAGAAGGCCTTAGAGCAAAGGGGTATTTCCGGAGGCTCTACCACTTGATTGCAGAGCTGAAAATCAAGTGTATCAGACACAAGTAGACCAGCTGCACGTTTCCTGGCAAAGGACTAACTTGTGGATGTGTATTGACCATGGTACAATAAATATGCCAAATAAAGTACCACCCCATGAAGTTGAAGACCTATCACTTCTCATTCATCACATGCAAGAAGGTCAGTGTCTGAACACTTTCAACCAAGGAGTAAAAGTCAGATGAGAAAGAGCCTGCTGTATTTCTTACTCTCAGGGCAGTACACCACTGAGGCTGCCTGCTCTGGTAGTTTTCTGGCAAGCTGTCTTCTACAGGCTTCATCACACCTGTCAGCAAACACATAAGTTCTACAACCTCTCCCACCCCTACTGCCAACAGGAAAGACTCTTGCACAGTCATTCCCAGCACAAGGAGAGAGAATTCCAGCCCAGGTAGGACATTGCTATTCCTAATGTACATATCTGTTTCACCTGTCTTCCTGTACAATGAATTTGAATTTCCAGTGCCACCAAAGTGCATTTCTTACATTTACGGAAAGTGCCCAAAAAGTGTCTTTTTGCACCCAGTGCCACCAAAGTGCATTTCTTACATTTAACGGAAAGTGCCCCAAAAGTGTCTTTTTGCATATTGGATGCGTTCTTTCACTTGAACAGAGTATCTGGTCAGTGACAGACTTATCCTTTTCTTCAGTAAGGAACACCTTCGTTGAGTATACAATGAAGAGCCAAGCACACATACATCTAAGGTATAATTCAGCAGGTATCAGCACAACAGAAAGTGAGCAGCATGGCTAAGAGGTTTAATTTTCTTAGCCTCAAGACTGGATAGCCTCCATTCCCTTTCAGAACAAGAAAAAAAACTGTACTGTCTTTATTGGCATTTACAGCTGACAGGAAAAGACATTTTTCTAAAGCGACATCCTAGGAAAAGGATCTCTGGAATGTAAAACGCAGTTTAAATGAATGGAACTTGCAGTAATCTCAGCGCGTGCTTGACATGATTTCTACCTGCACTAGCAATTCTGCCTGGTCACAGAAGCCTGAAGAGAAGAAATTGCAGAGAAGGACTGCTTCAGCTGCAGGTCACTGACATGACTTCAGGTATTTTTGTGAAAAGGAAAGAAAAAGCAACACAGTTAAGGGAGCTGCTGCTACTTCTTCCTCCCAGGCTGAACAGCAATGTCTTAGGAGGTATACACATATACACAAAAGAGTCAGAGAAAAATGAGGCAAGCAGGACCAATAGGTAGCAGAACCACGAGGTGAGCAGTTTTAAGCCTGAAATATCTGTAGCCAGTGCTTGTGAGGGCACAGTGAGAAGTGACACGCCCACTGATTACGGGCTTGGAATGCAGTGGTGAGCAGAAGGATTTGGGACTGTAGGGTATGGCAGAGCCTCAGTAAGCCAGCAAGAGCAGACAACTTCCAGAACCACAGATTTCCTCCATAAAGATTGCAATTTTGAGGCTGGAGAAAAATATCAGGTGTCCTTTAGGCACGCGCAAAGCAGATCCTACAGAAAGTGGATATAAAAGAGCATCAAGGTTTGCTTGTAGGCATAAAGATCCATGAAATCTCTAGATAAGCGGAACTGGATGCCCTAACCGGTCTCTTCCAAAACTGTCGTTCTCTGTGGAATAAAGTTCTCTAAACCCAGCATTTTGTCCTGTAATGACAGTGTGCTTCTAGACACTTGCCCTGTTCACATACATTTCTCCAATAGCCATTTCCAACCACTGCCAGATGGGACAGTGGACTATATAGACCTCTTGCCTGACCCAGTATCACTCTTCATATGAATAATGTTATAGGAAACTCTTCGTTTCTGAAAGTAACTGACTTGACTGACTTGTTTAAGAAATACATCTGGCACCTACACCAATGTTCTTCATTAGGCTAGCAGATGCAGGATTTGTAAATACTATGCAGAAAGGTAAGGCTCTCACTGCAGACATTTAACATTTCTATCTGCTAGCAAGTCTGTTGCTAGACAGAACTAGTTCAAACACTGGTAACCTCAAAATAAAAAGTATGGAGATGGAGAAAAACATTGAAAGATACAAATAATGAGCAGCAGGAGTAAAATGAAGACAAATACTAGCTGCTAAAAACAAAAACAGTGATAATAGCCTTGCTGATCAATGGTGACATATAGAATCATAGAATCATTTAGGCTGGAAAAGACCTTTAAGATCATCTAGTCCAACTGTTAACCTAACACTGCCAAGTCGACCACTAAACCATGTCCCTGAGCACCCCATTTACACACCTTTTAAATACCTCTAGGGATGGAGACTCAACCACTCCCCTGGGCAGCCCATTCCAGTGCTTGACAACCCCTTCAGTGAAGAAATTCTCCCTAATATTCAATCTAAACCTCCCCTGGCACAACCTGAGGCCATTTCCTCTCATCCTATCACTTCTTACTTGGAAGACGAGACCGACACCCATATGGAAAATATCAAAAAGAAAAGGCTGAAGGTCAAGTCAAGGAAAACTTGAAGGGAAAAAACCACCAAAGAATTAAACTAGGAAACATATAGCTGTATGTAACTAAAGAAATCTGTGCACAAGCAGATTAATAGACCTGTAAAAGTTTCTCCCTGGTAGACAGCAAGAGAAAAGAATAGAAGTAGTTGAGAGTAACTAAACACGAAGACAAATTTCCACCTTCTAGTCATTTGGTGAAGAATACAAAGCATAACATCTTTCTGACAAAATATTAAGGCAGAAATTCTCCATGGTCAAGGATCTGAGCAGTCTGCACAACCACGCCACAGATGCACATACAGACAAGCATTCAAAGAAGAATTTTAGCAACATTATAAAAGGCCAGTCAAACATTTAATCCTAGGTTTTAACAATTCTGACTGCAGACATACTGAAAGTATTAAAAAAAAAAAAAAGGAGGGCAAACAGATGCACACATGAACACGCCTCAGTATTTTCCAGAGTTGAAAGAATGACCAAAGTGCTCTGGTTTTGGCATGCTTAAATCCTGTCCTTATTCCATCTATGTTTTAATTTTTTTAAGTTTGGCAATATAGGAAAAGGAGGAAAAACAATGTAATAATTTTTAGGTTTTTAATCTCCTTTACTACTGAATTTTTAGATAAACTGAAAACTCAGTCAAGTGGTTATTCTGTTATTTCCCTTTCCCTGCTCTCCTATCTCCATGTTTTTACTGCAGAGCATGTAAAGTGAAAGTCTACACATAAAAATAATTTTACATTAAAAAAAATACCTGTATTTAATAAAATATTATTAAAAGAAGCATATACTGAAAGAAACAGGAATCCTGAGCATTCAGATCTGGTACTATGTGTGTTAGTCTTACATGCAAAAACCACCATGCTTCAGGTTAAAGGGTATGATGTTGTTATTACTTATTTGTGTAATAATAATAAATACTAAGAGTCAATTTCAAGAGATAACTTCCTTTAGGAAGTCTTTTAGATGGTACTTTATGATCACATTGCTATCAAGTCTGAGTTATACTATGGCAGTGTTGATTCCACCCTGCGGGAATCTTTTCAATTTATTAGCAATTCTGAAGATCACCTTAGAAAAACAGTAAATTGTCAAAACATCACCTGTATCTTGGTAACATGAAAATACTTAAGGCAGCTTGTTTGGCATGTGTACCTCCTTTTAAACATTATCTTTGCTTTGTGGTTCACATAAAGAGTATTATATGAACAGGAACAAGAAAAAGTTACTTACTCTTACAAAAATCCCTTACTGAAAGAATCACTTGCTCATAAAAACACCATACCTGAAGCGTGGTGTATTTCCACTTAATTATGTATTTTTCTGAATGTGTACATGAACCATCAAAAAAGCTGTCACTTGTTTAGCAGTAAGCAGTTGCTTTTGTTCTATTACTTCCGCCCTAAAAAAATGCAGATTCCCATGTTCAAAGAAGATAATTAGCAAGCATCATCATTATACTGCTTTGTAGTCTGCCATGCAAAAAAATCCTGGCACGGGTTTTGGCCCTCATTTTTTATCTTTCACAACTAATTTCACAATACTCTGACAGTTTAAGAAATAATAATGGAAGTCATTCAGATGTAATAGACACTTCTGTTGAGGTACATGGTTGATGGCTAGTCCTTTCTAGCCATGTGACAGTGCAGACCTCCCTCCAGTAAAAATTCCATCTACACCGATCTACTACAGAATTTCACAGTCTATTTATATATACAGTGAACGAGGTGCGGATTCTATCAGACACCCATATATTCATTTCACGAACACAATCGCTATCTCCAGGTGTTAATATTATTTATAACATAAGAGGCCTTTATAAGCTAAATGTACATTCACAAAAACAGACACGCATACACCACCTTTACATATGAATAATTACATAAAACAGGGTCCCTTACTGCTTTCAGTTCTGCAAAAATACTGCAGTCATGAATTAAACATCATCTTCCAAAGTTCTCTGGTTTGTGCCTGCTCTGGCAAGATTTCTGGGAACATCAATTAGAATCTGAACAGCTTTACATTACCTCCAACCTTCGGCCCACCAGCTGATCCTGGCTTTCTTGCACTGTTTGAAGGATTTCCTGGCTTTTTAGGTGCCGGAACCTTGAAGGCTGAAGCAGCTGACGATGGCCTATTTCCATCCACTGACTCTTCATCATCAAAGCTTTTGTCTAGAAAAGGATACATTAAATAAAAATACAACTATTAGAATGGATGTAAATTTATTTCCTAATCAACTGTTCTGCTTCATATTTCATAGAAGTACACAAAACGTATAAATAAAAACAAATATTTATCACTTCGTCCTCTCCCTCTGACCTAGGGAAAAAAATTACAATGAGAAATAAACAGCATTTTCTACATGTTAAGTTCTTATAAGATATTATTCTCCCTTCATAATTAAACACCGTAAAACTGAACATAAAAATGAATCCTACATAGTCATTCCCACAAAGGGAAAATATCTTTGCAGAGATTGAGTATTTTTGCCCATTTCTGAGTATTTTCCCCAAAGGAACGCCCTTAATACAATTTTTTTATCATTCCAGTCTACCAAAGACAAATGCTTCTCCCTTTTCTTCTTTTACTCATGCATGCATTTTCTGCTACACATCCTCCCACAATGTGTCTAACCAGCACTCCCTGTCTCCTTCCTTCCACCCAGATTTTTCAACTTACAATCACAGATCCTCTTGCAGATCAGCCGCCTCATTCCTCTGATAGCTCTTCAATCCCCTCACCCTAGGATGGACTCAGTGGCTCACATGGCCACATGCAGTAAATTCTCAATACTAATCAAAGATTCTATCAAAAACTGCTAGCAAACACCCTAGATCCACCACTGAGATTTGTGCCGGCATCTTTCTCTGCCTTCCCTGCACTAGGTGCCGCACAACCAATGAGCTGCAAGGTGACATCATCTGCTGGGAGCCACCGCCAGAGGAAAAGGTGAAAATTCTCCATGCAAATAAATTCATTCCCACACACGGACGGTATTTGCCACTATTCCAATCTTTCGTTAAAAAATTAACACAGGCTGACAGCACTCTGGGGTTTGCACTCCTCTTTCCTAGAATTTCAGGTTTGTGTATTTTTAATCAAGAAAGAAATTAATCTCTAGTGACTAAATAGTCTTAATACAAAATGTATTCTGTCTTCAAAAGAAAAAAACACCCCAACATATTCCAACAGTAGAATGTAACAGTTTCTCAATCCACTTAGGGAAGAAGGATTTATCTATAAGCTTGAGCATGCAAAACATAGCAGCCTATGGTTCCTATAAGAAATAAAATGGGCGAGGCTGACACCGCTGCACTACAGTAATGGAAGACCAATTTAGCATATTACCTGCTCTAAAATCTGCCATTTCTAAACCAAAACAAAATTAATTGCCAAGCTTTACCATCCATGGAATGGAGACTATTTACCCTTTGCTTATTCAGAACGTGCTCCCAGGGAAATGCCAACTATATTTAATAACACAGTCTCCCAAAGGACGGCAGCTTCCAGAAAAAAAGGGTAACGCAAGGTTTTATCCAACAGCATTTGCAGCACCAAACGTTACAACACCCCACATGTAAAGTGTCCGAGAGCACTGCTGCTATAGTTAGTACATTTTTGCAGCACTAGCGAAAGCTGTGTGTTGCACTAACACATCTTCCTCATTACAGAAGAAACAAACCACCACAAGAAACATCTGGATGTATATTGCCAGTTTTCACTGGCATTATTTCCTTCTCTCCTGCAAACATCGACGTTTAAGAGAATCTTGCTAAGAATAATCGCGTTTGGATACGCAAACTCTCAGAATCGGGGAAAGGCATCGCCCCCCCTCCGCCAGCCCGTGTGTTGCCATGGGAACAGCCCTCCCGCTCAGCACAGGGCGGAGGCAGGACACACTCATTCCTACCGCTCTGCCTCTTCGGGTCTTAAATAGGACCAGACATCAAGATTGTTGAACAGGGAAAACCACTAATCCGAATGCCAGATTAAGTGCAATGAACTCAACATTATAATAGAAGTATAAATAGCAATGGTTAACATCTAGGATACCTGCAACATTACAGGTAATTTTAAAATAGCATCAAGAAACACCTTGTAGATTGTTAAGGAGCACGAAGAGATCAACACTGACAGGTGAATATGCTATCATAAAAACTGACTGAAAGTGAAAACATGCTTTTTGAATAAAAATGTTCTTCTTGCTGCAGGGTTTTTTTAGGTTTGATAATGAAGCAGGCTAGACTTGCCTGTTACCATCCAACAGCACTACAATGCAGCATTGATATGCAAATATTGCACAAGAAGCCTTTGAAAAAATGGAGTTATTTGCAGCACAATTTTAAAAATAGTAAGTGAGCATTTTGCTCATTTAGGCAAAACCTCCTAATCAAGAAGAACCTAAACACCACCAAACAACAGTGTACTTTGGAACCAATGGCTCAGATAAATTAGTTTTATTCTTACCAAGCTATTCATTAGGGAGTATTGAAGATGGAGAATTGTAGAAGTTACTGCTCAACCCCCAAATGCAGAAACAGAATTTCAGAAAAATGCAAACCCTAACATTCCCAGCTATTGACATGTTGTGTAAATTACAGGATGATATATTAAACAATGATCTTGGTAATATTGTCAAATTACTTTGCCTAGTTAAAGAATATTTTATTCATAAATTTAAAACATTGTCAGCACTGGATTAAAAACCTACACTATGAAATATTTTCATACAGTTTCTTAGTCCACATAAAACACAGCTTTTAAAATTTATTTTTTTTAAATCCATTAGTATTTTTGAGAAACATAGAACCGACCTTAACCACTGATACCTGGGCATTCTTAGCTGGACTTTTCATAATTTCTGTTAAAGTACGTTAAAAACTAAAGTACCGTTCCAAATTACAGCACAGTACCATAAAGGTATAAAATTAACAAGTAAAAAAGATCTTCTTTAAAATTCTTTTAAGGCTAAAGTGGTAACATACCCAAGTTTCTTTTGTTGTGGGGGTTTTTGTTTGTTTTTAAATAACACAAGCAAGAAAATTTTATATTCTCTTTTACAGAAATCAGAGGTTTTCTCCACCTTTTGGGCCTTATCACTTTTATTTCCCTAAGCTCTATCAACAACAGAACCCAAATCGATCTTTAGGGACACTCCCTTTTCAGAAAGACGGTTAACAGCATTTGTGAAGATCAGAAACCTGAAGTCTGTATTTATAGCAGTTAAGGAAACAAAGGCATTAGATTAGCCTCCAGTATGATGTGCTTCCCACGTGCTCTCACTCATGCACAATACACTTGTCTGCAGGTCTTATAAAAGCATTTCCATGTATTCCAGAGTGCAGAACCCCAGCTTGAGGTATAACTGTTACTCCACAGGGTATAATCAAGGTGCGGTTCTGCTCAATCCAGCTGAGCCAAACTTGTTTACTACGTGCCTTCATTTAGCCAATGGACCAGGGCTGGAGCTCCTGACTGCCAACGTGCAGAGCGTGACGATCGCTGTACTGTCAGTATCGAACCGTGACTGTAATGTTAGCTGCATGCAGTCTACAAGCAAAATTAGTTTCTACAACCGAAGTAATAAAAGCCTAAATATAATAGATAATTATTGATTGGCTAGATAATTTTCATTCCAGGTAATTTTAAATGCCAAGCACTTTGAACATATCACATTTTACATCTGCAAATACACCTGACAGCTGAGAGAGCACTATCCACACAGCATTTTACAACAAAATCTTTACAACATCTTAAATGAAAAACATGAAGACAGACACTGAACTTCAGTTAATTCTCACAGGACTGTTCTTGCACTCAGTATCTTAATTTTCAATCACAATGGGCAAGAAGAGTTTTAGAGTTAAGCACACCCTGCAGAGAAGAGCCTGGAATCTAGTACTGCCAAAAACTCCTGAAGAAACCTGATGAGCAGCAAATGTTCTCACTCTGGAACAAGTTCTCTTCCAGATGAACAACTTCAAAGTAGAAAAAAAAAAGAAAATTCAAGAAAATGTTCTTATATTCAGAAAGCTAGAAACACAAGAATGAACCTCCAAGCATTACAAGTGTTCTCTTCTAGTAGGGTTGCTCTGTACTGCAGAGGAGCGTTCTGCAGGCGCTATGCAGCAAGTGAACTGGTATCAACAAACTGCTGTGCATTTCTACAAAACCGTTCAGAGGAGTCAAAGGAATGTTTCTACTAAAAACCCCACCAAACCAACCTGTATGACATCAGATCCTAGACTTTACCACACTTTCAAAACTTGGGGTTTACAAAAATCATTCTAATATTAAATCGAGACACATTTGTTCAATTAGAAATGCAGACCAGAACGCTTGAGCCACCACAAAGGTTTAAATACAAAAAATCTTAAGAAACAAACCATGTAACCTGTACTAAAAATAACTAAAAGATGTGTGGTATCTTTCTGTCTTGTAGCATTACTCTCAGGGGCAAGATTACAAACATCTACTATCTGTTTTTAAAGTACTCACAGATATCAAAGGATAAACATTTACAATCAAGCTCAATACTCAAAGAACATTCTAGCACCCCCAATGCTAAAAACTGCTAAACAACCTACTTACTGAGATTTGGCTATAGAGCAATAAGGGTAATTACAGCTGTATCCAGCAACAGGGGAGAGACTAAAACTTTTTAAAAAATATTTTTCTCTCTAGATATGAAAAGAAAATTAAATTAAAATATATTTTTTGTTACTGCAACTCAAGCCTTTACCTTAGCTGGTTGTCAGATTCATAGAATTAATGCAACATTTAATATCTAGCATTTTTGTTAATCACAGTCAATAACAAAAAAACCCACCAGTGTCATCTATACAGCTGTAGAAATAGATCTATATACTACTCGTGCTACTCAGAAGCAGCTAATCAGAAGTGAACTGATCATAATGCAGATCCCTAAGTAACACCACTGTAAAAAAAAAAAAAAATTGATCCCTTGCAGTAACATGGAACTAAAGCTGGCCACAAAGGCCAATCTCAATACTAGGTCCGTATCGACACCTTACACATCTAACACTACTAGGGCTGTAAATACCAACTTGCAGTATTCTACAGTAGATTGACAACAGTCAAACCAAACACAGTATCTTTAATCATACTGCTCTTAAACTTCGACTTTTCTTAAAAATGTGCTCTTCCTATA